GAACGAGAGCCAACGTCGTGCCCAAGATAACCCAATGGTAGTGGCAAGATTTGACAATCTGTACAAAGTCCGTCATAAAGGATGAGGTAAGTATTAATTGTTAGCTGGTAGAACATACTCCGAGTACCAATGTTAAGATTGTGGTAATACGCTGCCTGAAGCGATAAGACTACCAGCAAGAGCACTGTAGTATTCAGGCAGAAATATGAGAACACATGTAGTAAGGGAAAATAATGAGCCAAGGAGGAGATCCAAAGAGTCTCATTTTCGTAGTGAGCAGTTGAGGGTCATCACCTTCGCTGTCTTTCTCCCCTACTCTAAACCCCCTTATATAAATAGATGATTCGAATGCATGGTCAGTCATGCGTCTGGAGCTGTTCATGCCAAACTTTCGAACGATCGTGGAAGATCGTTCTGATAAACCAGTGGAGGCTGTTGAGAAAGAGCCCTCAATTGTGTTTGGTGGGTTGTACGTACTGTACGACTGTTCATTTATTAATAATAATAATTTAATTCTCAGCAGTCCCGACAGAAGCTCCAAATATTATGCCTTCGCGCGAAATTGGGCGCATTCCCTCAGCAGCGAAGAGAGCAACAACATAGTATCGAAGAGGCTTCATTCAATCGTTTGTTCCGGACTTACTTTGTGCAAGGCAAGCTATTACCACCAAGCATATATATTAGTAACGCCAGCTTTGAACAAACACAGATACAGATACCATACTAATAGCTCCCCAATTCCCTGGCTGCATTCACAATCATAATACTTCGCAGTAGCGGCCATGAAATCCACAAGATCGTCTTCGGTTGGTGGCAGTGCTAGTAGGAGGCGCAGCACAACCAGCGAACGGCGGAACAACAACGAACAAACACCAACATTGCGAAGATCCTCACGAGATCGAGATGCTGCAAGTCCTGCCTCGCCAAAGTCTCTGCGGTCCCGAAGACGAGCCACATCAGCAGAGGAGTCCCTTAGTATTATTCGAACGCCAACGCCAATACGAAGAGATCATGCGGAAGGGCGGAGGTCGAGAAACAACAGACACCCGCCTAAAATGGTTTCTGGTACTACCGGTGATATTGGCTCTGGCTCTGGCTCTGACGTATTGGTAGCGGATATGGAGGGAACGCTAGTGCGGGTACATTTGACAGTGAATGGAAGCCGCAGTAGTAGTGAACAACAAGGAACCACCACAAAAAAGCATGCCCCAACGTTTCTGGGTCAAGATGGGAACCTCTTTAACTGTATGGTGTGTCGAGAATTTGGAGATGTCGTTTGTTGCGACGGTTGTCCTCATGTCTATCACCCGCATTGTATTCCAGTGGGCTCACCATCTAGAATATCCCTCGATAATGACGAAGATCCCTGGTTCTGCCCGGCGTGTATTGACAAGCAGACGCAGACGACAACAACAACAACACCCCTCAAGAAAGACGAGGGAGAGAATAATCATCATCATCATCATCGACCACCATCATCAGCTGAACAAGGAAGCAATACTACTACTAATACTCGACGAACCATCAAATACAGATGTCAAGAGTGCCAACAAACCAGGCCGGACCTTGCATTGCAGCCGTGCAACGTTTGTTCCGTACACATTCACCATCCTCCTTGTCGTGGATCGCCTTCTCCTTCCGAGGCAACGGCTGTGTTATGCTCCAGCTGTCGGGCAGAAGCAGCACTCAACGAAGAAGAGCTGGAATTACATGCCAAAAAGAAATCACGTCGGAGTAGAATAATAGTGGGAGAAGAAGCTCCTATTCGCGCCGACCCGGATGTTGCTAGTAGGCCTAGGCGACGAACGCGATCCATTGACGCAGCAGAAGAAGGATACACACCACCGGATGCTGCTGCGGATAATGATGATGATGATGAGGATGCCATTGACTTGAGGGGTCTTTCTGCACAGAGCGCACAAAAGAGGAAACGTCCCGTGGTTGCCAATGACACTGCTGCTGCCCACCACGACGACGACGAGACACCTACTAAATCCGAGAAGAAAAAGTCCAAAAAGAGAAAGAAACGAAAGCGAGATTCGGACGCTCACCTACCACCGTTGGAGGAATCATCATCGTTGACAACAACGGAAGTGGTAGTAGAACAACCGACTACTACTAATAATACCGATGCCGATCCTCTAAATCCACTGGAGGACGGAACTCAACCTCAACCTCAACCTCAAATGCGTGGACCACCCACCAGCGCCACACCCGCATTTCACTTTTACCTTGTGGAACAGAGACCCAAAATTGAAAAAGTCTTGTCGCGGAAGCATCGCTATTTTAACCGGTTGCCCAAGGGAAGTGAGAGAAATGCACTGATTGCCAAAGAGGCAGCTATGCAGTGGGTCAAACTGAGCTCGGTGGACCAAAAGCGATACATTAACTTGTCGATGCGGGATTACGAGAATCGAATCATTGCTTGGAAAGAAGAGAAAAATATTCGGGATATGATGATGGCGAACAGCACGAGCACTGGCACTACTGACGAAACAACAGGCGAACAACAACAACAACAGCCCTTGGAAGAAGCAGATGACGACGTCGACAAGCCACACGACGATAGTATCCTGACGTATGAAATGCACCAGCGTCTTTACTGGGGAACATCGGTTGGAAGCAAACCGTACAAGCCAGAACCGGATCAGAGCCACAATCGCGTTCTGCTGGACCTACTTCGAGACATGAGATTTCATCCGCTTCCAATGCTCTCTGCTTGTCGCAATAGCAAGCACAACAGTAGCCCTGACGACACGCAAAAAGTGTCCATTCGGCATTTCGATGTGCAAGGGCCAATTGCCACCAGTGTCGGCGACGAATGTCTCGGTTGCAGTAGAGGGTGGCCTCACTTTTGTCCTGTGCTCCAGCGGCGGCTCCCGTCGATTGAGCAACGATCCAAGCTGCAGCCCGCCGCAAGCGCTCTGATCAGTACTCGTGTAGGTCTTGGTCTGCGCCCTCGGCTAGAACGAGTCGAGACCGAAGAAGAAAATGAGGACGAAGAAACCGACAACAACACCAAAGCTGAATTCTTGACCTGGAGGGACGCACCACATGCTAACGATCTCCGCAACGTCAGGTTTGTCCCCTCTGGTAGTTTGACGGACCCAACTTCACGGGGCGATGATATCGTGGAGTTTGTGGAAGAAGTGGTGGCGATGAAAATTCCCGAGCCACCCAGGCCTAGTGTGATGAAAGGAAAGCCGACGGATTCGACGCCGAAGAAGACCATCGCAAGAGGCACCTTGCCAACCAGGCACAGGAAATCCTTGGACGGCACGGATGCCATTGAAACTGCCAGCTACGAGACTATCAACAAATGCGGGCGTTGCAGGACAATAATTATGACCGAAAGTGGTTGCGTTCAGTGCCGAAGAGCACAGCTGGTTATCAACATGTCCAAGCGGCAACCCCCGCCACAGGCTGAGCAGCATCAACCGAATGAGTCGAGTCGCCAGAAGGTCGACAAGGCGAACCTACTCAAGGTGCAAACTGGAATGTTGGGACGAGTCATCACAAAGGAGTCCATCGGCGAAAGCTTGGGTGAATCGGACAGAGTCATAAGCAACGCTATTCTGAAGGAGAGATTTACACCTTGTGCTATTCTCCCTTCGACAACGGCGCTTGCTCCTTCCCGGCCTGTGGCATCGGCTACAGAAAACACGACATCCATTGACGCGAGGACGGTGGAGAACTACGGCTTTAGCGTCGGCACGACCCCTGCGGATTCTTTATCCACACCCAGTTCCAAAAGTGTGGACCCACAGACAGGCACCGAGGATCGCGCACGGAACTCAAGGCGGTCTGCAGGACAACACAGCTCTTTTGAAAGCGGCGACGCTGATCGTCAGGCGCTGGCCAAGCAGCAAAGAGAACAAACCGATAAGATTCACAAGCAGACTTTGTCCATTGCCTGCTACGGAATCTTGCTAGCTTTGATACGTCGGGACCCGCTTCTGCTCTTTGCTCAGCCGGTGACAGCGGAAGGGTATGCTGCGATTGTTAAAAAGCCGATGGACTTCTCCAAAATTCGCAGCAATGTTTTGGCAAATTCCTATACATCTTTGGGTGCCTTTGTTGCAGATGCAAGGCTGTTGTGCGACAATGCGCTCATATTCAACCCACCTGGATCAATCTACTGGAAGACTGCTAAGGAACTTCTTGACGTGTTGATGCTGATGCAGAAGCGAGCAAGCAGATGGATTACTGCCATTAAGAACGCAAATGCTTCATATTGGCGAAAGATCCCAAAAAAGCGAAAGAGAGGACCAGGGGAGGGCGACATGGACACTGCTTCTGAAGTCCTAGGTGGTGACCCCTTCAAGCAGTTACGCCAGACATGGCCTGAGGCTGTTGACATGTATGAGAACAGTGATTGGTTTAAGAGCCTGCTGACAGCGGACTTTACAAGGACCAGGGAGAACGAAACAGCCTTCTATGGTGCCCTTGCTGTTCGTCGGGCAGCCAAGGCAGCTGAAGTTTGCCTGGCACCCTACACAGATACAGGTGGTGTGTATTCCGCTGTTGTGAAGAGATCAGCTGATGACGACGAGGAACTGCGCCAGGTCGTGGATTCGAAAGTCGCCAAAGTAATACGCCCAATAGAGCTGCGGGAAATTGCAACTGGTCGCGAGGAAACAGTTGTAAGACTGATGCGGAAGGTTCAAAGCCGACGCTTAGAGCGTCGGATTGGGTCTGAGAATGGATGCGCTAGGTGCGATGGAATGGGTTTCGATCCTGAGATGAAAGCAGTGATGAATGCGGATGTGCGCTGGGGTCGAAGCAAGAAGAAAGGTGATGGTGACCCTGATGCTAGGGTTGCGGCATCGCGCATGCACCTCACCACTGGTCTTGCAAGTGCCAATACCCGCGATCGCATTGCCAAAATTGGAGAGTTGAGCGCGGAGGACCGATTGAATTCGATAAATGGCATGTGCGTTTCCTTGCGTGGAAGTAAGACTCATGGTCTTGGCCTCTATGCAGAGCAACATTTCAGGAAAGGCGATGTCGTTGCGGAGTATGTCGGAGAGTGCGTGAGTCTGGCTGTTGCTGACGCCAGAGAGAAGATGTATCGAGAGATGCGCATTCAAGACTACCAGTTTCGGTTGGATGACTCCCAAATCATCGATGCTACATTGAAGGGGGGCTTGGGCAGGTACATCAACCATTCCTGCAAGCCAAATGTAAGCACTTCTTGTCTCGTTTTGCTGATGTTTGTGATGCCTTTTTCGAAGGCGTCAGCACTAACTCGTTTCGCCTCTGTTCTCTACTTACTTGCAGTGTGTCACAAAGGTGTGCATGGGGAAACCTCCCAATGAAAGGCTCCGTCGAGTGATCATTTTAGCACAACGCGACATTGAGCCCCGAGAAGAGCTTAGTTACGATTATCAATTCCCGTTGGAGTTGAATCTCAGTGCTCGCATCCCTTGCAACTGTCAGTCCGACGTTTGCCGTGGCTTTATGAATTGGGATCTCCCCGAAAAGGGTGCGAACACTGGCGCAATTCGAACTCAGAAAAGAGGTGCCAATATGAGAGACCGGATTAGACGTTTGGGACGGCCGCTGAAGAAGTGAGCAATATGGGTAGCAGCACCAGACTTGTACTTGTGAAGCCATGGCAGTAGCAAAGTGTACGATGCTAACAAGTTATGTGTACAAGTAGATTCCTTTGTTCTATTACCAGCAATCTCAATCGACTTAGTGGTGCATTCTGGGAATCTAATCATGACGAGGATGGCCGGTGCTTGGTTCGGCTCATCCATCCGGAAATGAAGAAACTTGGGAAGAGGATACTGTGAACTGCTGAAGCATTTGAGTGGTTAAACACACTGCAGCTCTGACCTGATCATGCCATGTTGTTTCCTGATACGATGGACACTATTACATTTTCGGTTGTGATGTATTCAATTAAAATCGACGTTCGGAACAGATCGTCTGTACGCCACTATTTGAGTGCTTTACAAGAAAAACCTCAAGTGCTCGTGAGATCTCATGACAATGACGACAAAACCGACTTGCTGCTGAGCACCCCTGAATACGACAATTCAAATGAACATGAACACGAGCTCTGGCTTTTCATCTGCAGTGCATTGTTTCACCTGTATGAAGAAGGAGTAGCAGGAGCCACACCAACCAAATCAACAAGATCAGCAGAGGAAAGGGTGGCAAAAAATACTGAAAAAAGTGCTAACCGGAAGGCTGCCGAACCGAATTTCCACAGTGGTAGTAGCAGGAGGAGGTGTTAAGGTAGTGTTATAGTAGTTGTGTTACTTGTTGTGGTTGTTGTTGTAGTGTGGCTGACTCTAGTAAGCTGGTAACTGGATAACTGGCATCCAGTCGAAGTCATCAGTCATTTTCGGTCCCCTCGATGAAGGTATGCATCATATGCATGGCTACATCGCTCTATCATCGCTCTAGCATGTCATTCGTCTCTCAATTCGTCATTCAACTCAACATGATTTCATCTCATTCATTGTTCAAATGGCTGCTCTCCTGCTTCTAGCCATCATTCTTCAATCACAGCTTCAGGTTGCATTCAGGCAACAGCTTCAGCCTCTATGGAATCTTGTGGGAAAACCTAAATCCTGGGCCAGACTGCCAGGACCTCATGGGCCACAGAGGTAAAAAAATGGCTCAGCCCATTCAGGACCTTGACTTTTGTCTCTGAACTTCAGGGTCTTGTTGCCAGGGTCATTCTATTCTCTCTTCTTGATCGTTCATTCTCTGACACAAAGTCCCCTCAAGCCAGGCTATCTTCGTCATCTGGTCTCAGGTCATCATTTAGTCTGTTGTAGATCTTCTCTTGATTCATCAAATCGCATCTTCCAGCCTGTTCTGATTTGGCAATTCTCATCGTGCCGCAGAAACAGGGGTGCTGATAAAAATCATCCAGTTTTCTTGAACTCGCATGTCCAAATCGTTAAATCCGTGCTCCTGACCTGCTTTTCATAGAAATCTGAAGCACAAAATTGAGTAGTTCGGTTCTAACATAGGGTTGCACGATTTGCGTCACCTCATTTTCCAATTTTGGCATGTCAAATTTAGCCATTTCCGGTGATATATGTGCATCAAACTATCAGTGCTCGCCCTCCAACACAGAGTGTCGGGCATCATTTCCATCGCAATATTTGCTTTCATCGCAGCTTTTGCGTCACGCTACACACAAGGCAGCTGGTTCATATCGACTGAAAGCGTTGCAGTTCCTCCCACAACTCAGAGTATCCGTGAATAGATTGAGTCATGCTTCATGAGTCAACACGATGGAACAGAGAACGCTGGCAAGAACACGTTCTCAACGAAACCAAAAAGAAACGGCAAACTGGAGTATTCGACAGGAGTAAAGCATCCTGCCAACGAACCGTTTCACGTAGATCCCACGTTGACTTCCATATGAATCAAGATCAACTACCATGATGCATTGACGGGATCTTGCAAGCTCAACTAGACGAACGCACTCAGGCTTCGGCACTGCCCATCAACCTCGCGAACAAACCCTTGGTCACTGGACACATTCTGGATCGTGTCTTCCGCAAGTACTTCGTGAACGGTCAAGGGACCACCTTGGGCGAAGGCCTCTCCCCCTTCTCAGTGGTGTGCCAAGGCCATTCGGAAGCGAAGGCGGTCCAGGACTTGGCTGCTCGAGCGGAGTACGTTGAGAAGGGAGCCTCCGTCACCTTGGAAGATGCCATTGCCATCACTTCCACCGACGTCAAGTATCCCACCGATGGTCGCATTGCGGAAGAAAAGCTCTATGGTTTCTCCATCATGATAGATGTCTTCCATGGAGGAAACCATCCCGTCTCACGCTCGGTGCGTGATGTGGCCCTCTCCCTGGGATCCTACCTCCACACCATCCATGGCCTGCATGCTGACAACCGAAGTGTGGCGGTGGACTTGTGCGGTCGCATCCTTTTCGAGGTCCAACAAGATTACTTCCTGTGGGTCAACGAAGCTATCCTAAACCCGGGCGCTGCTGCCCCCAACTTTGGTGCGCTGACTAGACTCATTCAGCGTCTCTCGCTGAGCTCCCTGCTCACTGGTACTCGTTCTTCAAGCCCGCTCCCGAGCCACCGATCAAGAAGCCTGCCGGAGCGAACCAACAATGAGCGGGAGCACACCCGGTCACCAATGCACTACGCTAAAAGCTAGTGTAAAGATCTTTCGAGTGTTTTGAGTTTGAGAGAATGAAAGTTATGAGAGAGATTAGAAAGCTATGAAAACTAATCAACGAGAGAGATCATCATCAAGGGATCGTAGATCTGGCCTCCCGCGGGAGACTATAAAGTGTGATAGAGTAGGTTGCGGTAGTAATCCTACGTCTCTCCACGATTCTAAAACGGAACGCGTGGAAGGTTTGTCTAGCCTGGATCTAGTAGCGTGGAAGTACTCCACGCTGGCTAAATATCTAGAGTGATGTTTCATCGCGGTCATTGAGAACCCTGTCTCAAATGACTATTCACGAGAGACTCAGTCATGAGTCGAACTCAAACCCTATCTAGGATCGAGTCGCGAATAAGGCTAAGAGCCGTGTATTGCATTCGCCCCCTGACAAGGGTCACAGAAGGCGCGACAGCAGTCGGACAAGGAGAACATATGATTTAAAGTGCGGGGCACTCTCATGAGATTTGGATGTAGACATGTGCGTCGCACGATGGCAATTTTACAAGGGGATCAGGCCTTGTATGGGTGTATATACCTTATGTTCCAAGTCTGGTAGACTGTGCCGCCATTGGCGGAGGCGGTAGCATGTCGGAGCCGTACAGTGCCATTGTCATTGACTCGGTCTATAGTGTAAGGACCTTTGTACTTTGGCTGACCGTACTTGCGGTGCTGATATGTTGAAATACGTATCGTTGACATTGTATTGATGAGGGACACGCGTCGCGTTTTCCCTATCGTTGTTTTGTTGGATTAGTCGTTGGCAACGTTCCTTGATGTACTTCAAGTTGCTTCGAACCGGACGTTGTGATCGCGTCACGATTGAAAACAAGCTGTGCGGCGTTGCACGCAAGGTGGTATAGAATCGTGGCATTCATTGCAAACGAACCGCCGTGAGGACTCCATCCCAGGATCCATTCACGAGGTCTCTTGGCACTTGATGTTTTGAACAGCGATCAAGTTCGTATGGTTTGATTGAGCACGCTCGACCATAGATTGGCTTGAGGGTTACCGCGTAGTGATAACTTGCGACGAAGTCCATATTCATCCCGGAGAGTCTTTTCGGCCTCTCGCGGAACTCACGTCCTCTATCCTGATAACCTCGCAGGCCATGGATACCAGTAAGCACGTTTGTTCTAGACGATTGCTACTTCGTCTGCTGCCTTTGGAGCAGATCTCTGCAATCTCGAACCATCCGGTACGGGATCAATCATTGTCAAGCAATGAAGTGTGCATGGAATTCTTTTTCTTAGGACCCCGACGTTGTAAGGACCTATCAGGTCAATACATAGTCTTTCCCAAGGGATCTCCTCGCAAGTCTTTGGAGGCATCAATCCCAGCTTGCGGTCTTGGGTTTGTTCATCTGGCAGCTTTGGCAACGCTGACATCGGCCTGCACAGTCTTGCGCACTCCTTTCCAGGTGTAGTGTTGCTGATGGTTAGTTCTGTGTGAGTCTCGCCAGGATGATCAGCACACCATGGTACCATTCAACTAGCTTCTTCTGCATAGTTTTAGGTACGACGATGTTATCGTCCTAACTACTAAGTCGTAAGACTATCCCCTCTGGGGAAAGATTGCTTCTTGTAGTCGTTTGGCTTGTCCCTGAGAGTTTCTTGATATCGTTGTCATCTTCTGACGATGTTCCATCTCGGGGAACGAGAGAGGGAACTCGCTAGGGAAGTCCTCTTCGTCTGGCAGCCATGAGCTCAGCGATCTCGCTGGCTCCATTTGTTCTGAAAACCGTCGTTGTTGGAATGTTAAGTCTCACAACGCATCAGCGACAATGTTCTTGTCGCCCTTGATGTACCGATGTTCAGGGCCGTATTCTTCCAGAATAAAGCGCCATCGCATTACGCGATCGTGTTTAAGTTCTTACATGTAAGATTCTTGTGGTCCTATGCACAACGATCTTCTGTCCCAGAAGAATGTTACGGAACTTTTTAGAGTTTCTACGATAATGAGAAGTTCCTTTCGGTACGGTGTAGCGTGTCTGAGCAGGTTGAGCTTCCTGCTGTAGGACGCGATAGTTTTCCCTTCTGGGAAATTACTGACCCTAGTTGAGTATCACTCGCATCCGGTGGATAACGAATGTATCGTTGAAGTCAGGGTAAGCGAGCAAGGTTTCTTTCTGATGACTTTCTTCATCTGGCTAAAGGCCTTGTCTGGTTCGGCTTCCCATTTCCACTTCGTGTTTTTGGAAGTAACGAAGCGAGTGGGGCCAGTACATTGTGATCTCTAATCCACATGTCTCGATAGTAGTTCACTAGTCCAATGAATCTCACGGAGTTCTTTTCTGTTGTAGGAGGAGCATATTCTGGATCGCTTATTTTCTTGGTATAGGTTGGATCCTTCTCGAGTAATCCAGTAACCTAGGTATTCAAGTCTCCTCTTGCGAAGAGGACTTGGTAGCTTGATCTTAAGTCCGGCTTCTCCAAGCCTTCGGAGAACTTCATCCAACTTTTAACGTGATCTGCCAGATCGCCGTTAGGTAGGATGAGTAGATCATCAATGTATGCACGGACGTATTCTAGGTCGTGCATTAGTGTTCCCATCTTCTCTTGGAAGATGTCGGGACTATTACATAGGCCATTGGCAACCTCTGGTATCGTACTTTCCCCAAGGGAGTACGATGGTACAGAGTTGCTTCGAGTGAAGGAACGCTCGATGTGATAGTATACCCATGTTCAGGTCAGACTAGTAGGTACTTGAATCCATCTAGATTCAAGAGCATGTCCTGTATTTTTGGGATAGGATAAGGCTTCCGCTTAATCCTTTTGTTCAGTTCCCGGAAATCAAGGATGAATCGTACAGATCCATTTTTCTTGGGAATGATAAAGTTGGTGCCGCCCACTCGGAACGGTTCACCCTCTTGAGTATCTCTGCCTCGCAGAGACGTTCAACCCTCATCTTAGAGTGCTGGTATGGACACGTGGAATAGGATAGCCCTGGCATGATAGGTTTAGCATCAGGGGAAGTTCTACTTCGTAGTGTCCATCTGCCACTTTCCTAAAGTACCATCGAATAAGTCAGAGTACTTCGTCAGTAAGAATGAAGCTGTTCCTTCTCTTCCTTGTTTAACTGATCTTGACTTTGGCAACCTGCCTTAAGTCAGCTTGTTCGTTATTCGCATCAAGAATCTTCTTGAGCGATCTGCACTG